GATGAAAAGGGAGGGTGAAGAGAGAGTAGACAGAGGTGAAAGCCTGACCCTGTTGAAATCAATGGGAGTTTGCTGTTGCCTTCACAGGGCCAAGGAATTTCTCTGTAGAATTTAGTGACAAGAGAGAAGAGAGCATACAGATTAGAGTGTAGCGGTTAGGAAGGCAGTTTGTACTAGAGAGGGGAACAAAGAGGAAGTAGAAAATAATGAGATCTGGGATGTAAGGAGTGTACTTGTATAGTAGTAGTGAGGAGAAATGAGATAGAACTACTTTAAGACAAGGTAATTCTCAATATACCTGTGGCTCTCAAAGGCATCCCTATATTTCACAGTGAGCAAGGCAGAAGCAGAAACCCACACTTTTCTAAGATTGGCCACAGGTGAATCCTCTTCTTGCAGAAAATTAGAGTTATTTTCTTTCCATTATTCGGACTGTACCCTTCATTATTGGATAAGAAATCTGATTCACTCTGCCTCAATCCTGTTGTGTGTACACATCCCCATCCAGTTTATGTGCTTTAAGCAAAGGGGTATTTGCCCCCTGCTACTTCTGTTTCTCAATATGTTCACTTGCTCTCTGATAACATACAGATTAGTACTAGGTGGAGTTACTCATTGAAATGTTGATAACAGCAAGCTCTTATATAATGATTTCCATCCATAAGACTCAAAGTGCATTACTGAGTCTGTCACTATCATTGTACACGTATTACATATGTCACAGAGAGAGGTGAAGTGACTTATCCAATGAAACTCAGCAGACCTGTGGTTGAACCAGGAATAGACAGATGAGTTCTATTTTGTGCTCCATCCACTGGGTAACACTGCCTCATGAAAGTTAGAGCTTTGTTGTCTGCTCTTGGAATCAGCCAAGGAATAAGCCCAGACAAAGGGTGAACTTGAGTAGCACTCAAGTTTGTTTATTAGTAAAGATTCTTAATAGTATGGCAATATTCACACACATACAGATCACATTCATGCTGACAGTTTGGAGGCAGGCTGCCAGCAGCAAGAGTTAGTTTTGATTTTAGAGGTGGATGAGACTGGCTGGGTCACAGCTTCCCTGGAGATTTGGCAGTGAGGCAGTGAGAGTTCCCTGGAGTCCCTTTGATTCCATAGGAGGGCTCTACTGCTTCCAGTCCAATCCCAAGTTTTGGTGTGCTGTTTCATCTTTCTGAGGGAAGACCCCCTCCCCCCGACTACCGGTCACATCAATTTATGCCCTTTACAGGAGGTCTCCTTAGCCATAAAAGGTAATGCATACTAATCTACTTTATGATTGGCGGTTTCTCACTCATACTTCTTCATGCATACACTGACAGGTTACATATTCATAAGTATGAATACAATTAATCCCATTAAGACAATGTGATTTTAACAAGCATCTAACATTAGTGGGGACTTTCCAACAGGAACTGTCTAGACCGCAGCTACTCAACATGATAGCTACAGTTTGAGCAAATTTCCTAAGAGGGAAAATGAGGGAGAGGGAAGTCGTGTTGAGCCAGCTATGTTCCAAGTGGGGGGAAAGGTTGTGCCTGGCTGGCTACAAGCTTCATAGAACTGGCAATTGTTTATGAACATCAGAGAAGTAATTTACATGCCAGAGGGAATGTTGGGGCTTGGAATAGAAGTTCCCAGTGCAGCATAGGAATGTTAAGCATGAATTGGGATTTCTATGTTTAAAATGATTCATATTTGTTAATAATTGGAGTTAATATAATTTTCTTCTCTTCTTAGAAGTTGTTTCCTATTAATTGTAGTTACCGACTGCTCCAAAAAGTAGACATAAACTAATAGTGAGTGTAGGGTTACCAAATCTCCTGGATTGTTCTGGAATCTTCAGGAATTAAAGATTATAACGTGATGAAACCTCTGGGAAAGCATCCAACCAAAATTAGCAATGGTAGTGAGTTCCTGAATGGTAGTACTGGGGGTAGGATTGTTTAATTTTTTTGAATTTGTTAATTATTTAGACAGAGTGTTGATAAAAATAGCTAATGGTGTAACTTAGCAAGTGAGAAGAACAGTGTACTTACTGAAATTGGGAATTGAACTGAACAAATTTATTTAAATTGGAGCAAAGTAAAGATATTGGTAAAAAATTTCTAAACGCATATAGTGAGAGATTGGAATGTAAGAGTATGGCGGGGGGGGGGTGGAGAGATGACTTGGGAGTCTTTGTGTATCGCTTAGTAAAGATAGCTCTCTTCTATAGCAGCATTTTAAAAAAGTGTTAGAAAGCATTCAATGATAAATATGTCATTGAAGCAAACCTTGAATGTTGTGCCCAATTTTACACATCTCAGATAAGAGAGATATGAATTTAGAAGGTTCAAAGAAGATGGAGGGTTAATGAGTTTAACTAAAAATGTTAAAATGGATTTTCTTCAGTCTTTAAAAAACCATCACTTTTGGTTTTACACCAAATATGCAAAGTTATGATTTGAAGGAGTAAGGAATGAATGAGAGAGAGAGAGAGAGAGAGAGAGAGAGACCTGATCATGATATCCTTAGTCACTACTATAAATTAATCATACTGTAATATTAATTATATGAATTAATGATATAAATGATATAAATTAATGATAACTTTCTAAAATGAAGGGAGGATTTGTTTAATAAAATTAAAAGACAAATTTAAAAAATGTTTAAAGAGGCTATGTCAACTAGGGCTGGTTGGAAATTTTCTGTCTTGACTCAACGGAAAATGGGTTTTACTAATAAATTTATGTATGTATGTATGTATTTATTTTTGCAGAATGTGTTCCTTTTCCTCAAAATTTTTGCACTTTTTGTTGGAAATATTTTGGACTTTCGATTTCTCAGTGGAAAAGTTCAATGAAAACAAGAAAAAACAAGTTTTCTTGGCAAAATTTTCTGCAAGATCACTTCTCTCCCTTGCAAGCTTCGCTGGCATTTAGGATTGAGTTTTACCTTGTCTATTTTAAAATATTTGTCAGTTGAAATAGGATTTCCTTTGGGTTTTAAATATATATTTAACATCATATTGAAAACATCAGATATGTGAATTTTCTAAAAAAAAGTTTGGCATTATTTTTGTAAGACCTTTAAAACAATATTATGTCATGCTCTTATGTACCCTCTGATGGCTCTGCATTCAGGAAGCAACAAACAATTCTTTTAAGGCACCTAGAGAATCAAGCTTAAAAGATCCATTTCAACCATGATTTATTATTATATCTTTGAGAAAGTTTGTGTCTGTCTGTGTCTCCATCCATCTGTGAGTCCATTTGTTCAAGAACTCCCCCTAAGCAGTGAAAACTAGGACCACCAAATTTGGTATGCGGCTTTTTCTTATCATAACTTAAAGCAAGGTCAGGCTTTGGTTGTGCCAGGAAAATACTATGTGCCTGGAATGGGATTGTTTTTCATAACACAGAAAGAGAGGGGGCTGCTAGAAGGGATAGTTATACTGTGTAATGACCATGGAGGGGAGGGGGACAAGGAGGGGAGCAAGGAGCCAGAGATGGGCACTGAGAGAGCTATAACTCCATTGGGCTACCACAGGGAAGGAGTGAAGGTTAAGTGGGGGAGGGATAGCTCAGTGGTTTGAGCATTGGCCTGCTAAACCCAGGGTTCTAAGCTCAATATTTGAGAGGGCTATTTAGGAATCTGGGGCAAAAATCTGTCAGAGATGGTACTTAGTCCTGCTGTGAGGGTAGGGCACTGGACTTGATGACCTCTCAAGATCTCTTCCAGCTCTATAAGATAGGTATATCTCTATATATTATTAAGTTTCCCAACCTGCCCCCCAGCCAGTGTGACTAACACTGTGGCCAGCCCTGGGGAGACACCTCCTGGCCATCACAGCCCTGCCAGTTCCCTGCTCCCTCACATTCCCAGCCCCTGAGCCCCTCCTCACTCTGAACCCTGACTTCAGCAGCCTCCTGTCCTGAGCCTTCTCTTGCTCCCCAACCCTGACTACAACACCCCTCACAGCAACCCCGTGCCCTGAGCACCTCCTCATCCCCCAAACCAGACAAACCAAGGTAAAGGCTTGGTTGTGCCGGAAAATTGGGGATGCACCTAGAATGGGATTTCTCATAAAACATTCAGAATTGAGATAGAGTCATCAGGCATGTGAAAGATGCACCCTCCTGTCTGAACTACCCCAGCCCTGAGCCTCCCACACCCAGGTGCTCTTCAGAAAGGGCAGTGGGAGGAGGAGCTGATGCTCTCCCCCATCTATGATTCATACAGGGACATTTCTGGAAAATGCAGTTTGCTGCATTCCTCACTCTGGCTGGGGATTCCAGGGGGCAGACAAACCTGGACCTGCCCCAGCCCCAGCTGGGGCATGCACCCCTTCCCTGGCTGTGTGCACTGGAGCTGCAGCAGCGATGGAAAGATGCTTCTCACCTGGCCGCAAGCTGCTGCTGTGGTAAGACAGAGCTGGACAGAGCTGGGGTAGTCCTCTCTCTCTGGGGCAGCCTGCATACTGATCCCCTCATCCTCCAGCCCCACCTCCCAGAGCAATGATATAAAAAAACAAAGTATGTACATTTTAATTTAAATTTATATTCCAAAAAACACAAATCAATTGAATTAAGGACCCGAGCAACGCTGGGTGCATCTTTTAGTAGGTACATATATCTTGAGGGAAAGCACAAAATCGGTAGACCTGAACTAATTTCTAAACTGCTAGGAGGCTTATATGAAAAAAATAAAAGAGTAAAAATTATAATATAAATGGGAGCTGGCAGTATCCTTTTAGCTAAAGGATAAAGATTTGTAGTTAAGGAGATCAGGAACATGATTCAATACCTACATTGTAACAGTCAACATTAAAAAAATGACAGCCAATAGGGAAAAAAACCCTCCTCAGTTGTCTTTTTGCTGACAATGGTTTTTTGGTCACCCATCATGACACTTATACAATGGTGATGCAGTTCTTGTAATTTTATTAAATGTTAAATATGCATGGATCACTCAGCAAAAGCTTAGGAAAATATCAAAAAGTCTTTGTTTATTGACAGAGTTAACTTTCTCGTCTGACAACTTCAAGCAACAGGAATGTGCCAATGGAACATTTGCAGTCGAAACATGAAAGGAAAGTTAAGGCATATCCAGGTATGAGCAAGATCTAGACTGCAGTTAGTGAGCTAAATGGTAACATTATAGCAATTACACAAGCAACCTGAGTTAATGACATCTTGGAGGTTAGAAACATTTTGCTGTCAGTACTATAATTCTTTACATTTGTTGTTTATTATTGGGAGCAAAAATTTCAGATTCAGTTCAGGCTTCTGTCCCTCACATAAGCAAGCAGTCCTTGAGGTTAGCAACTGACTTGTCAGGGTGTCTTTAAGAATTTTGTACATGGCTGTAAATCACATTTTCCTGACTAAAATGCTTACCTGGTACTAATGTTAAATTGTGAGTGAAAAAGCAAACCACACAGGGAACTTCTTTTTCCAAGAAAATGTCAAAAGATAATTAATTCAATTAAAAGCCTAAATTACAGCAGCCATATTTTTTAAACAGGTGGATAAATTATTAGAAAGGCAAACATTTTAAAGATAAGCAATATCTCTTCAAACAATTTAAAATGAACATGAATAAAAGCACCCATGCAAATGATGTTGGTCTTTAAATTATAGCTTCTCAAAATGTCCCTTTTACATCAATCTGCTACATGCACACACATTTACTATATGTCCTTTGGTGAACTATTAAGGTACAGTTAACCTTTGTAATTCTGCAGTACTTGAGTCCTAAATTTTGCAAAAAGGATAAGAGAATCTGATGACAGCTGTTTGTGTCTGTGTGTTCTTTTGCCTTCCTCATTCTTGTTCACCCTTCATAGTGAAGAGTTACATTTATACCACTGCCTTTGCAACAAAAGGGTGTGGGGTTTTAAACCTTGATGCTGGATTATTATTTCCATCTCTGTTTAGATCATCACATGATGCATTCAGTGATGAGTTAGGCCAATCACACACAGCCACCCTCTTCTCTTTCAGGATAGAGATGTAAAGTGAAGGTTTCAAACCAGGAGTACAAAAAAAGGAGTGGGGATAGTCGTGGTGGGAAAGCTAGTTTTTTCAACCATTATTTTTTTTAGGTAATCATGTTATGAAACATAGTGACATTATTTAAATATCTTTTAAACAACAGTACCTACCACTTAGTAAAACCAAGTCTAGTAATCTTGTTTTTGTTTTATTTTACACTGCTATTCTGAATGAAGATAGTGCTAGCATGCTTCTGCTGCTGCAGCCCTAAAGGTTTTCAGATGCCAATTTAGATGGATGTTGCATAGAAAACCCTGTTGTTAAAATGCCAGCTCTATTTTACAAAGAACTAGCAGATAAGTTTTGTTGTTCTTTCTTTCTTTTCTCATAAATCATGGCATACTCTTCAGTGGCATGACTCTTGCCAGACTCTTAAATTCACAGAAAAAAGCCTGGGGCGCTTATGTAAAAACAAATATTAATATTGGAAAGTAGTAGAAAAATCTTTTATTCTAATTATATGTAGCCTTAGGTGATGTTATCATAGCATGATATCATACTATATCATGATACCACAGCAGCTAGAAGGGCTAAACTGGTTAAGGGCTCCATTTTTTTGTTGTGTTCTATAGACACATAGTAAAATACAGTTGATCCTCTGAAGGACAGATAACCTAAAACAATAAACTAGGCAAGGAATGGGAAAAAGGAAGTAATATTATTCCCATTTATAGATAGGGAACAGAGAAAATTACTTACTGCAGGTATAACATCTGTAGCAGAGCTATGAACATTGTATTATTGCTTCCCAGCCCAGTGATTTAACCATAAAATGAACTTATTTTCTGACTAGTGATATATCTATGAATTATAATGACTGGTGTGATAAGGGATATTCTCAAAGACCTGCTAAATACACTAAACTGTGTTTTCCCTCCAAGTTCTAATTTAGTACCTTGTCTCCATTATGCGTGCAAACACATATATTTGTATGATAATTGAGAATAATCATTTCATTTTAGTTAAGATGGGGGACTTGGAGACAGGGATTTACTAGCTGACATGATTCAGAAAGGTTTTGGTTTATAGTGCCTTCTTTCTTAAGTAGCTAGTTAGCTGAAAAACCTCAAATTTATTCATCATCTCTTCTAAGCAGCCACAAGTCACAAACACTCTGACCATATCAGGCATTTCCATTTTGTTGGAATGCGAAATGTGTGTGTGTGTGTGTGTGGGGAGGGGGTAATGTGGATTGCAGTCAGTCATGCTAACTTTTCTCCTTTTAAGCTTTTTTAAATTAAATAAATCAAACATTCATAAAATTGTTTCTGGAGGGTTCTGTTTCAGAAAGGTCCATAGAGAATGCCTATAACATGACTGCACTTGGAGTTATTTTCTTGAAGTTTCAGTAAACTAAATTTTTTTGGATGGGAATTAGGTAGCACTTTTTTTTTGAAAATGTTATATATTTATGGAAATATATAGGTCCCCAACTATATTTTTTTGTAATTCAGCATATACTCATAAGTTGTACATTGAGTATATTTTGGAAAACTCTTTAAAATGATTAATAGTCAATAGTAATTTCTCTTAACTATCATGGTCTTCAGGGATTCAAATTATAATCCAACATAAACTAACCTTAGAGGTCATGTATACTGTGGGATTTATGATTGCACATGAAATGGATACTGAACTGATTAAGACTTCATTGTGGCGATAGTCCATTATTAAATAACTGCTCCCCAATGGCAATTTCATATTCCAGTTCCAAACATTTAGGTCATTCTCAGCAGATTTAGAATAAACAGTTTAGAATTGTTCTTTTCTCTATTGTGTGACAGCAGTCAAAGATACAGGGCTTGGCAAATGTAAACTGGTCAACTGAAAATATACATATATTTGTGGCAAGGCCCCTCTTTCGCTGGGCCAGCAACATTTGCAGCTGGTTTTTTGGGGTAGGGAACTCAACCACTCCTCCTGGGAATTCCTCCCCTGCTGTCTCTATCTCTATAACTGTTGTTACTTTGTCTCTCACTCTTGTTCTCTGTTCTGTTCTCTTCTGTTCCGTTCCGTTCCGTTCCGTTCCGTTCCGTTCCGTTCCGTTCCTCTCCTCTCCTCTCCTCTCCTCTCTCTCTCTCTAACTGGGGAGGCTTTTAAAAGACTCCGGCAAGCCTGAAGTGGAGCCAGCTGGCCCAATCCACCTGGGCCAGCTCCCTGCCAGCTGCTCCTAATTGTCCTGTAGCCATCCACCTCTAATTAGCAGGCCTTTTACCCTTTTGGGGCTGTCTTTTCCCCACTCTGCAGCAGCCCTCTGGCCTGACCTTGTCACAATATATATAAATATATATCCTCCACTTGCTTAACTTTACCCACTATAAATTGATTTCAAGTGAAACACGTGTAAGTCTTTGCAGGATCAGGGCCATAGATAAAAAGCACAAATGGTGTCTTTGTTATGTGTGTACAGTGACTGAAATAACTGATATCTCGTCCCTAGCTGGGGGTCTCGAGGTGGCACTGTAATGCAAACAAGTAATTATATTTTATATATTGTAGAATATGTGACCCATCCCCCTCTGAGTACAACATAACTGACTTTCAGAGCCGACAGCAAAAGTCATACCCAAGTTGAAAGGGAAAGGGGCGTTCCACTACTTTGATTTATTGGCTAATAAACTAATTTCCTTTTTGGTGTTATGCTATTCCTATATGGGCTAACAGTTTAATTAGTTGTCAGACTGCCTAGAGCTTGTATATGGGAACCTTTTTGCATATGAAATCTAAATAAACATTACATACAGTACACATTTGCCACCGAGTAATTTGTTTTAAAATTTTTATTTTTCACTCCCATGGAAAAAGAAAGTTTTACCTTTTTGGTATGCTGTTGAATATTTACATCAGTCCATTAATAGACAATTACTTACGCAAAATAGAACTTTATAATGAGAAGTGTTGAGGCTACTCCTCGGGGGCTGGAACAATGTGGATAGTGGGGGTGCTGGGAGTCAATGAAGCAACTGGAAAACGCTCTGTTGGATGGAAACAATTTCTGGTTAGGAATGTTGCCGCATCCACAGCCTCCCCTAGTTTCAGCACCCCAACTTAATCTTAGTAACCTTTTTAGCTCACTGACGCCCTGATTTAATAATCCATCCCTATTCACAAAGCAGTTGAGCACATGATTAATGCTGTGCTGAAATGGGACCGTAATGAATCTCACAGATTCTTTTTTCCAGAAAGTTCTGTGCTTGCTGTGGAGCCATAGTAGTGCTGACTGAAACATCAAATCTTTTTTACTTGCCAATATTTTGATCATGCTGAAGAAAAGAACATGAGATAGCAGATGAATGTAGCAAATGTGGACTGTATTTACTTGTACAATATTAATCTGTTCTTGAAATCATAATGTGTGATTTTCTGAGGAAGTTGTGGGCAAGTGGGTGGGATAATTATATCCACCCTCTTTGCTTTCCACCCTGGCTTAGCTTGCATGTTAGTGAAAGCATGTGTTGCAAACTGGTCTGATTGTGAGCAGTACCAGCTGCTACTGTGGTAAACATTAAAATATAGCAGGCCTGATTCTGATTTCTTTCAGACTGACTTTGAAGTGGCACAAATTCCAGTGGAGTTATTTTGGTGTAAATGAAAGCATAGTCAAAGCCACTATGTCAGTCATGGTTCTGTGCATTTGAAAGACCATGGCAGTTAACAGCAGCTGAAACTTCAGTTTTGTGTACTAAATTTTCATGAAATCAAAAAATGTACTCTAAATAGATTTGGCTATAACATAACAGCTGGGATGCAATCTGGCTATATTTGCTCAAATAATATTCATCAAATAATTTATTTGCCAAATATCACATTTTTTCACATTTTTTGCATTATTTGTTCAATTTATTGATCAGACTGAAAATATATGTACACGTTCAGTCAAATCAATATGATAAATGTCTTGAATTTTTTAAAAATTAAAACCTGCTTTTGGCACGTCTCTAGGTCTATATAGTGAATAGGGGCAGGATCCGCACTGACCCCAGTGGCAGCTGGGGCTACCATGCTAGGACCATAGGTCAGGACACTGTGGGATAGGGAGGGTTTCTGTCCCTCCTGTTCCCCCACATACTGGGTGGCAATCTTCCCCTCTACTGCAAGTGATCTTTGTGTGTTTGCCTGCCCCACCCTGCACCAGGGCTTGAGCTCACTTACTGTGGAGTGTGGTTTGTTTACCTTCCCTGCTGTGCACCAGGGCCTGGGCTTACTAACTGCTGAACTGTGTTTGCTTGTCTGTCCTGACCTGAACCAGGGCCTGGATTTACTTTAACTGTGAACTGTGTTTATTTGGCTGCCCCACCCTGCCCTAATGTCTGGGATCACCTAAAGATTGGAACTGTGTTTATTTGCTTGCCCAGCCCTGTACTTAGGGCCTGGGCTTAAAGAGGACTGCTGAGTGTTAGATTATGGGCTGAGCACAGAACTGGGCCCAGGACTGAGCCATGTGGCATACAGTCTGGCACATAAGAAGCCAATCTAGTTTTTGTAGCCTAGCTTGATCCTGAGAAACTCAGAATAAATAAATTTTGATTTGTCAGCCTTAATGTCACTATAGAAGGAGATGGAATGTTAAAGTCAACTGATAAAACACCATGCTTCAAAATGTGTTAACTAAAATTTTCAAAAATGGGTGCTTAAAATTAGTCCCCAGAATCCTGGTTAACCTCCCCTTTTCTACATGGAAGTCAATGGGAATACTCACATGTATAATGACAAACACGCAATCGTTGAAAGATTTCTAGCTTAGTGAGGGTTGCTGAATGATCAGCAGTTTTGAAAACCATCTTAGTTATTTTTAATTTTTAATAAGGGCATAGAAACATACCTTTAAGCTCTAATATTTTAAATCTTAGAATTTACCCCTAAAAATCGTTCTGATCATTTTAAATTGAAAAAAAAAAACCCCAGGAAAGTTTATTATAGGTTCTTTGGCAACATTAAAGTCACAGGTTTAAGTGACCATAGTACAATTTGAAATATATGTGCTACAATTGTTGTTATAAGACTGGGGAAGCGAGACAAAAAAATACAGTAGATTTAATTTAATAACAAAATGTCCTATTACCAGGATTCACAGCAAGGATATTTGACTTACTGCAGACTATATACTACAATATACTCCTAAATATAATAAGATTGACAGGATGCATGCCGAAATGAAACATCGCCTATCTAGAATCCTTTAATGAGGCCTTTAATGTGTCTCTCTAGCATGTTGTTGTTAGTTCTCCTTAATTAACAGTTATTTTAGCTACAGAATACTCATAGAAGACTTGAATGATTAAAAGAAACAACCCCCACATCCACACACATACATCAAATTACATTCTTCTTGAGTAGTGATTTCTAGTCTTCTTAGCCCTTGTGCAGGTTGGATTCATGTAGACTGAGTGGATTCTAATAAATAAGGCAGGCCATACTTCTTGTATAGTAGCTGAGAAAAAAAACACAGGTAAATCTCCATGCACCTTTTCAAAAATGTAATCCATGTTGATAAGCTTTCAAGGTTTGTCTTCCATGGAATGCAATCCTCATTCAGGAACCAAATTTATCAATTTTTCTTACATAGTTAGCTTGAACAGCTCAGGGAAATAAACAGACTTTCATTCCATTGCTTAATGTTGTTTCTTAAAGCATGTCCTCCTATGGATAGTGCCTTGCAACAAAAAATGCACTGCAATGTGGCAATGGCCAATGTAGCCATTATGCTGTCCCTGAAATATTTGGGTATCCCTTTAATGCTCTCTAAACTTGTTGAAATAGGGTTAAACCCTGAAAATTAGGAATCTTTCATCTTTTCTGACTTAACAGCACTAAGGCAGCAAATATGAATGACGTCAGGGACTCTCAGCTGAGCTTCTTAAGATGTCCATGGGAAGACTTGTAGAATGCCTTCAAATGATTGGCTTTTAATGGGAAATACATAGATTGTTTCAACCTTTTTTCAAAGAATTTTCAGGCTCTGAGCCATGATGGTTACACATTGTTTTTTTACCCATTGCCCAAGTGTGGTTAAAAGCAAAGTGATCTATCTTCTGTACTTAAACACTTCTGTCCCTTAGGTCATGCACAATCATGCAGAATTAATTAGTATAAATTGTCTTCTTGCCCTTTACCATCATCAAGAGGCACTGAACAAGCAGAAGTACCAGCTGGTTTTGTGCACCTTCTTTGTTGGTTTTCCTTTCGTACTCGAGAACATGTATGATTGTTTCTGTCATCTTGATTTCAGAGAGATTTATTTTATCCTCAGGTGTCATTATCTATCAGTGTGGGTCCATGTTCTCAGGGGAGCTGACAATCTCTGCAGGATCCTGAGCAAGATGGAGAATGGAAAGCCCTGTGCTCCCAGAAGGGGTGGGGCCTCAGGTGAAAAGGAGGGGCTGAGGGCAGCCCATCCTCCACGTCATCCAGAGCATGGTGACTCCCCCTCCCTCAATGCTCAGAACCACATGGAGTGCACGGCATGGCATTCTAGCAGCAATTTAAAGGGTCCGGGGCTCTGGCCACCTCTGCTGCCATGGTAGCAGTGGTGGTGGCTGGGAATTCCAAGCCCCTTTGAATAGCTGAGCCATAGGGATAGTGATCTCTTTTCCCACCCTGTTGGTGGGCCTGCATATTGTAATATTGTGGCAATGTCAAATAAATTGTGTCATCCTAGATGTTCTTAAATGTTTTTCTTACAAAATTCCTGATGCAAATATTGATTTGAACACTAATACTAATAATGATTCTTTGATCATCATCTTCTTCATTATTTAGAAATTCTAGGAGGTACTTTACCCTTTCAATGTTCCATAGAAACACATCCCATAGAAGAAAAGACATAGCTGGATCAGAAAGTGAAATTTTGAGTAAGTTGGAAAAGATGAATGATCCTGCTTCACGGCTTTCTTTTAGGAAAAGGAAAACCTGTGCATAGAGAACATTTGTTGTGATTTAGTGTCACAATTAGTTTGGATAAAATATTTAATCTCACACTCTATGTCTTAATATTTTTTCAGGATTATCCCAATTTTATGAGAGCAGTCATGATCCTACAAATTTAGGCCTATATCTGCAAAGACTTGTATGTAACTGAAGACCTTCATGATGGGAGAGAGATAAAGTAAATAGCTAGAAAAAAATGAATAGGGATAGAGACTGATTTACCACTACACTTTTAGAAATGGGGCATGATTTTAACAACTTTGGCATGGTAATGTGGGGAGTCTGGAAGTGCTTTTTGTGCTCTACTTATTTTACAGATGAACTGATATATTTAGTCTCTCTTCAAGGCTGTCTGTCTGGCACCTCTAACAAGAACTACGCTCCACCTCCCCCAGCACATTCAGGTATATTATATTCTAGGAAAACTGCAAAAATTGCAGATATTCTGTACTTTTTCCTTTCAGTGGCACACTTCCTAAGCATCTTGTTTCTGCTTAAGAAAGTGTGAATGCAAATATCTATTTAGGATCGACTGTGGTTTAATGCTATGTAAAATGCTGTTTAATTTACAGACGCTAATAAAATGCCTAACTGAATACTAAAAAGTTCAGGTTTTCATAATACAATACAGTAAAACTTTTAAATTTATGATTAATTTATAGATGACAAGAGTATTATCCAAGGATTGGGGTTTGATTTAATTATTTTATTTATTGCTTTAATATTTTTATTTAGGATTAACAGAGTTTATGATTAAACATTATTGAAAATTCTGCTGTAATGTGTTCATCCTGGCAAATCCATATCAGTGGATGTGCACAAAGAATGAAAAGTAGGTGATATTTGATAAATATAAGAAGGCTTTAGGGCATATTTATGAAGGAATATGTACACTCTTTACTAAAGAAATAATCTATTTAACAGAATACAGTTCACTGATAAAATAACACTGTACTTAATAGACTAAGTACACTGCAGTATAAGAGGGATAGATCCTGCAAAGTGATGAATGTATCCTGTAATGGGCTCAATATTATTAACTCCCAATAAAACTGATAAATGCTTAGCATATCTCAGGAACTGCTTGTTGCTCTGAACACTGCCTCTGTCCCTAAGTGGACATGTGCATCAAATTACTATATATCTAGTACATTATAGCTCAGAAAGTTTAATAAAAAAATTCCAGCCAAGCTTCATATTTTCTGAATTTTAGATTGAGCTGTTGGTGTAAATCTTACTTTTATTATAATTGTTCTTTACTTCTATTAAAGTATTCGGGAGCCCAGGATGAATGGCTTTTTAAAAAAAGTTGGTTATAAATTGAAATAAAGACATTACATAATGCTTAGTTACAATGAAGTGATGCTATTCTTGACTGAGGAGTCATGCTATTTAGAACTATTACAGTCACTCACATAGGGCACGTCTAGACACAGCAGGGCGTAACTTGAAATAAGCTATACAAATTGAGCTACGTCAATTGTGTAGCTTATTTTGAAATAGCTTATTTTTTAGTTTTGGTGCTGTCTACACAGCGCTTATTTCGAAATAGAGAACTCTTCCTTGAATTCCCTTAGTCCTCATAAAATGAGGGTTACAGGAGTCAGAGTAAGAGGTCCTCCAGCTTAATGGTATTTTGACATTATGTCGAAATAACTGCTGGCTGTGTAGATGTGGACTAAGTTATTTCGGAATAATGCTAGTTATTTTGAAATAATGTTGCTGTCTAGATATAGACATAATGACATGTTACTTGCACAACACTTTACAATCAATGGCCTTGATTCTAGAGTTGGGTGACATTTTCCAAATTCTTACATTGCAACAAAATTTTCCATAGTCATTTTAAATTTCAACCCAGGAAATCAATTCAATTTTCAGCCAGCTCTAGAGCTGGGAGATTTTTTTCAACAGTTAGAGGTTCCTCTCCAAAACAAAACAAACAACCAAAAAAATACCTTGAAAAATATTCCTTGTTTTTGACCAGCTACAATGGATTAATTCTATGTTATAGAAAATTTCTGTACGGCCTCTCCTGGAAAGCCTTGAACAAGCAAATGCTGCTACCAAAATGCAACTGTTGCTCAAATACTGTGGCCAGTTCTAGCTCCCACAATTCAAGGAGTTCAATAAATTGGAGAGGCTTCAGCCCCTTAGAATGATTAAATAATTTGAAACTTACCTTATAACAATAGATTCAAAGAGCTCTATCTATTTAGCTTAACAAAGAGCATGTATACACTACGCGGTAGATCAATGCTACAGTGGTCAATCCACTGGCAGTTGATTTCTCAATCCTCCTCTGACTGCTGTCCCATCGACTCCAGTATACCACCAGAGTTGACGGAAGTGCAGCCCCCACAAACCTTATTGTGTGGAAAATACCACAGAAAGTACCTCAACTTCAGTTGTGCTATTTGCATAGATGAAGTTACATAGGTTAGATCGATGGGGATGTAGTGAGTGTAGTGTAGACTAGGCCATAGAAAAGGTTGAAGGAAATCTGTAAGTAGCTACATGGAGAGCAATTGGACTTTTCAGACTAGCAGTGAAAGATTTAACATGATCCAATGGTAGGAAGTTGAAGCTAGACCTATTTAGAATGGTAATAAAGCATACATTTTTTAACAGTGAGAATCATTAACCATTGGAACAATTTACCAGGAACTCTACTGATGGAGAATCCACCAGTGATTTTTAACTCAAGATTAGATGTTTGTCTAAAAGATATGCCCTAGAGTTTATTTTGGGAAAGTTGTATGGCCTGTGCTATTTAGGAGCTTAGACTCACTATATGGTCACAATGGCCCCTTCCGGCCTGGAAATCTATGGATTTGCAATAGCACACTTGGCAGCAAGAATAACTGGGGAGGGGTGGAGAACTGATTCAGAGTGTTCTCTGGAGTCCTGACTGCAAGTTACAGATGCACACATAGGACTTCCTGAATATTATCTGCTCTTTTTTCACTATTTTTGGGAGCCCAGAGGTGTGCTCAGTGATGTTTACTCACCAAGAACATACCAGCCACGTTGCACATTATCATACAAATGAGAAGCATATGCAGATACGAAAGATGGAGTGGAGAGGAAATATAATGGTGACAATAATAAGATCAGATGATTTTTTCCTTACGTCACCACACATTCCTCTTTCTATTTGTATACCTTTTAATTATTTTGATCCTTCCTCCATCCGTGTGTCTCTTAAGTTTCATGGAAGAAGTGTGTCTCTTAAGTTTCATGGAAGAAGTGAGTCTGGAGATAGATTTAAGTGGAGTGAGAGAGGTGTCTTGATTCAAGGGAAGAGATCGAAGCTTTGCTGAAGGCATGGGAGAAAGCATGGAGTTATTCATGAAGGAAGAAGGTGAACAGGGGGACATGACTAATGGAGTCAGGCAATTGAAATTGAGACCATATCTGAGCATGAATAAATAATGCAAGGCCTGGAAAGAAAGGACAAGAAGTTAAAACACAACATTCAGTCCAAGCCAACAAAGATATTTACACAACTGCAGCAATTGAAATCACTAAAAGTTTGGGTACATCTGAATATGGACTTAAAGATCATTTCTTGTAGATGGTTAGTATGGTGTTTCATGGTTTAATGACAAAGTATAACAGGAGAGTGTTGCACCATTAAAAGAAGAGAGAAGATATCATAGGCAGATCTGTAGTTCTTTTTGAAGCATGTTATTCTAGTCACTAGTCACATAATCTCAGTTTATTAGGGGGAAATGGTAAAAGATGTGAAGATGTTACTGGACCCCCATGAGAACAGCATTAAAAAATCCATCATTTGCTAATATTATCTACCACACATATCAGTTTCCTTTGCACGTATTATTTGAAATAATTGTAAAATATGCAGGGCCATGCAACTGATGACTTTTTAATGGCAGCTTCTGCAATGTAAATGGAAGATTTTGGACAGAAAAAAAGGTTTTAATATGTGCACTTCTCATTGACTTTTGTTATTTTCCTGCAGTGGTGACAACACATGCTAACATGGTTGTATGGCATATGAGCAAATGGCTTTCCCAGCCTGCTCCAAAACAGCCCACATTTGTCCATGATCAAGCCTTACTTGCTTCCCGCAACTTGTTTCATTTATAAAGTTTACAATCAACATAATAAATTCCAGGTCAAGTTTTCTCCCTAGGCCTACCTGGGCCTAATGTTCCTCCCTGAAAACTGTTCAGCCCAGACCTTCTCTCCCAAGGAGCTGCTCCCACCTCCCTTATATCCAGGGTAGAAGTAATGAATGCCATCTGCTTCAGTGAGTCATCACTTAGCATCTCCCAGCAGGATCAACACCTGCTAACAGGGTGGGATCACAGGAGAACACTGGCAGCTTGTTACATGCAATAATAACATTGTGCATTGTATGGCTAGGTCATAAAAATAATATTGCAATAAAATGCAATATCTGCATAAATCTGTCAACTCAAGGATACAGCTGGAAATGTCTGTGCCTCACCCCCTCCGTGCAAAATTACTTATTCCATATTATTGGTGGATTTGGAGCCAACACTTACAAAACCAAGTATCCGCAGAGTCAGCAAGTGACATTGAACATGGGTGGGATTTTTTAATGGGATTTCTCTTTAGATATCACACCCTTTTTCCTATCAAATGTTGGCCACTTCTTGCATTTTCTATTAGTCTTTAGGCCACTTGTTTTGTTTGACTTTACTCCTCTTAAATTTAATGTATTGCAGAGAAGTACAGCACTGAGACTTTAATTAAGCCATAATAAATGAGGTGCAGGGTATTTCCTGAAGACTAAATGATCGGCGGGAAGGAGTAGTTGGTTTTTTGTTGCACTCCAGGTGCTAGGCCCAGGCTGTTTTTAATTCCCAGGAAATGTTGTGTGCTAAAGTTATTACTCTTATACAAAGAATATATAAAAAGCAATGTTAAAGTAGGGTGCTCTTTTCTGTATACAATTTCTGAATTTAGAATAAGGTCTTTAGTGGTTTTCTTTTTAATTCTGAAATGCCTCATGATCTGGTATCCATAGGCTCTTTCTTCTTCATCCATGTCCACTTCATGGAATTGGAGTAAGACAGGGTATGTCTACACTACCACCCTAGTTCGAACTAGGGTGTTTAATGTAGTCAATCGAAGTTGCAAATGAAGCCCGGGATTTAAATATCCTAGGCTTCATTTGCATCTTGCCGTGCGCCGCCATTTTTACGGTAGTTCGGACTCCGTGCCCGCGGCTACGAGTAGGCACGGAGTAGGTAGTTCGAATTAGGCTTTCTAATTCGAACTACCGTTACACCTCATAACGGTGTAACGGTATAACGGTAGTTCGAATTAGAAAGCCTAATTCGAACTACCTACTCCGTGCCTACTCGTAGCCGCGGGCACGGAGTCCGAACTACCAGGGATTTAAAAATGGTGGCGCCTGGCAAGATGCAAATGAAGCCCGGGATATTTAAATCCCGGGCTTCATTTGCAACTTCGATTGACTACATTAAACACCCTAGTTCGAACTAGGGTGGTAGTGTAGACTTACCCACAGAGATCTGATGGAAAAGGAGGGAAAAGTGAGCAAAAGAACTTCTGGGTTTGTGGACCAACAACAGCCTATTGTGCTGCTGCAAGCTGAATGGTTTTCTGGGAACATAAAAGACTGGAGTGGAATCATGTGACTAAATTTGCTCTTGTGTTTAATGCTGTGGTTTGTTAATGTATACAGAGAATTTTTAGAGAATCCACGGCCCTATTAAATACCTTAAATAGCTTCAATTTCAAAGAAGTTTGAAACTCAACTTGAAGTTGCACCACTTAGAACAAAGTTGAATTTAGTCCACAACACTCCAGGGACTGGAGACACAAGATGGGTGATGTAACATCTTTTGTTGGACCAACTTCTGTCTATGAGAGAGACAAGCTTTGCAGTCACACAAAGCTCTTTCTGGGGTTTGAGAAAGATACTCAAGGTCACAACTAAATATATGATCCAACAGATAGTTTAGCATAAGTAGATAGCACATTTTCCAAATGACCATTCAAAGTGAAGTGGTTCCTTAACATTATGGCAGTCATAGGATTAAAAGGAAGGTTATTGGGTTACAGATAGCTGTAATAAGCCACAAAACCAGTGTATCCATTCATACCATGATTTTTACTGTTTAGCAAAGTTATGAATTTAAGCTCCCAAGCTCCTATTTTGAAAGTGTACAGATTTTCTTTGAGGATGAGGGCTGATAGCTCAGAGTGATCACATTATGGGTATGTCTACACTACAATGTTAATTCGAACTAACAGCCGTTAGTTCAAATTAACTTTAATAGCAGCTATACAAACAAACTACTAGTTTGAATTTAAATTGAACTAGCGGAGCCCTTAATTCGAACTAGGTAAACCTCATTCTACGAGGAGTAACACCTAGTTCGAATTAAGTAGTTCAAATTAAGGGCTGTGTAGCCACTTAATTCGAACTAGTTAGAGGTTAGCCCTTCCCGGGTTGCCCTGATGGCCACTCTGGGCCAAACCAGGGAAACTCTTCTGCCCCCCTTCCAGTCCCAGAGCCCTTAAAGGGCCTCACTCCTCCCTCCTCCCACCCTGGTTATGTAAAATAAAAAGAGATTTTTGTTGGCAAAACAGGTGTCTTTATTTGACATTAGGAAGGGGGGTTAGGGAGGGGAAAGCGGAAGGAGGGGAGGGTG